AAAAAACTGCATTATATCAACAAGTCAACTGATTAAAAAGGAAGACAAGGAAGGAATGTAAAATGTATGATTAGTTTGAGTTCGTAGCCTAACCATTCCGAGTCATTACGCCCTTAGGAGTGGCTTTACACTTAACGCCCTAAGACCATCTAGTTTGGGAGTCGTTGGCTCAATGCTTGTTACATGGGGTGATTAGAGGGCTTAAGGAACTTGGACATTGCACATGGTCATACATATTAAAAATAAATAAATAAATAAAATCAATTAAAAAAAAAAAAAAAAAAAGAAGAAGAAGAATGTTTGATTGAATAACAAAGTTCATTGAATGTCTTGAGAATTGATACTATATCTGTATGCCAGTTTGAGGGTAAGGCTATGCCATTACTTTGATTTGCTAGGATAGCAACGCATTTTGATGTCAGTTCACTCAAAAAGAATAATAGAATTGATTCAATTTGCATGATTAATTGTTTGATATGTGGAGGACCATTCTTACTTATATGACGTTAAAATGTTGAGAATAGCTTAGAAATGGCAGAAATTTGCATACTTGAAGTAGTCTACTTTTAACACTTGTTTGATATATGTCGTTGCTTCTCAAGTAAGAAAGAACTGTTGATGTTTATGGGTACCATTTCTGGAAACCCTCACGAGACTTCACTCGTCTACTAGGGGTAACCTAAGGGTTTAAAAGGCTTATTGCATATGCTAAATGCAACCGTGATCCCTACGAAAGTGGTGTTATCTTTATTTGCTTTATTAGTTCATAGTTGTATATGTGTTTGTTTCATTTTCGTACTGTAGTTCATTGCTAGGGACTAGCAATATCTAAGTTTGGGGGTGTGATAAGTGCTTAAATATTGCACATTTCAGCACCTAAGTTAAAGTATTTTAGTCTTTGCATTTATCTTAATTTCATGTTTTAGTCCTAATTTATGTTTATGTGTATTTCAGGCAATAAAGTTCAAACGGGTTTAAATCAGTCCATTACTGCATTTTTGGAGTAAAGCCAGAGCATCGGGATAAATTCTAGAAGAAAGCAAGGATGCAGCAAATGCCGCGTCCGGACGCCATTCCTCGCGTCCGGACGCAAGTCTTCCATATGCCGCGTCCAAACGCCATTCCTCGTGTCCGGACGCGAGTCTTCAGCATCCTGCGTCCGGACGCCAAGCTTCTAACAGGAGACCAAGTTACTGGATTGCCTTATTTTAAGGGCTACGAGATTTTAGTTTTTGGGCTTAATTCTGTAACCCATAGGCTCCAATAGGATTTGTTACTTAAAGGAAACAAGCCATTATTTTTAGGGTTAGTTTTTCATTATTTTAATAATTAGTTTCTTATTATTTATTATCAAGTATTATTCTATAATCGATATTACGCTCTCTCTAGAAAACATGCGAAAGGGGAGAAACAGAAGAACGGGCTAGGGTTTGGAAGAAAAAGGTCAGAGATGATGAAGCAGATGATAGAGATTGTTCCGTCTTCGAATCCATCAATCATGAATGGTTGATTCTTTTACTTAGGGTTGGATAAACCCTAAGCATGTAACCTAATTTCTCTCTCTTTTTACTTTTTGGGGATTTAATTGTATAATTGATGTATAGTCATGAATAATATAATTTAATTCTTTCATTTGATTATCTATGTCAATATCATATTGTCTTATGTGTGTTTGATTGGTAATCAAGTTCTACAATTGAATTCTTTGTTAATTGATTCTTGTGATGGCTATACATGGTGTTAATTAGATGTAATTGTGTTTTGATTTGATGGAATTTGCTTCTACTAGATGGATTATACTACACAGTTAATTTAATTGGGTTAAATTCTTGTTAAATTTAGTTAATTTCAGGCTTAATTAGTTTAATTGCACTTGCATTCCTAGGTAAGTAGACAACCCATGCCTGTGTTTGAAATCCATGCTTATTGTCACAATTGCATTATCTTCTATATTAATGTGTGTTGAAATTGCAACTTGAATTAATAAATCATACTTTGAATTGGTGAATTGCACTACACTTAGTTTAATTATCGTTAAGTAGTTGATTTATGCTTGAAATTAATGGTTTACACTTTTCATTGCAGTTGTTAGCCACATTTAGATTACACATTATTATTTCCCCAATTAGTTGAAAGTTAGTGAGTTATAGGAATGTGTTTAGTGGTAAAGCCTACACCCTAAGTCTCTTTCCAATCTTTTAAACTCCATTATTTTATTGCAGTTACTTAAGTTAAATTAGTTTTAATTACAAAACAAAACCCTTTTCAGCAATCACATAAGCACTAAAGTAAAATTCAATTCTAAAAATCTATAATTGTTTAGATCTCTTGGGACGATCCATGCTCACTTCATACTCCATAATATAAGTGTTTAGTGGTTTTATAAATTATAAAATATGATGCCCACTTGACATTATTTCTAAACCTAAAGTGTTGTGCATTATTTTATGCACACGCTTGGTTGCATCATACAACTTTTTTGAAAACAATTTCATGCTAACTGTTGAAGGATTTATATATTTGAGTTACACCATCAGGGTTCTTTGGCAGCTCTCGTGGTTTGAGGCAAGGGGATCCTCTCTCCTCTTTCCTATTCATTATTGTTATAGAGGCTCTTAGTAGGTTGATGAGAAGGGCTGTGGACTTGGGGTTCATACAGGGCTTCAAGATTGGTCCAGATGCAACTCATCAGTTGGAGATCTCTCATTTGCTCTTCGCGGACGCCACTCTGGTTTTTTGTGAGGCAGAGGTGTCCCAATTGAGATATTTGCGATGTGTCCTTGTTTGCTTCGAGGCAGTCTCTGGGCTGAAAGTTAACGTGGGAAAGAGTGTGCTTGTCCCTGTGGAGGACATTCAAGAGGTGGAGTCTCTCGCAACAGTTTTAGGGTGTGGGACGAATTCCTTCCCTATTTCTTATTTAGGCTTGCCTTTGGGTGTCTCGTCAAGGAGGGCAGGAAGCTGGGACCCAGTGATTAAGCGTTTCGAGAGAAGGTTGGCTGGGTGGAAGAAGCAATACCTTTTGAAGGGGGGAAATGTGGTGAAGAGCACTTTATCTAGCCTTCTAACTTATTTCCTTTCGCTTTTCTAGATTCTCTCTTTTGTTGTTGGAAGACTTGAGATGCTTCAACGGAACTTTTTGTGGGGCGGTAGAAGGGAGGAGTTTAAGTATCATCTTGTTCGATGGGAGTAGGTCTACAGGCCCCCCACTCCTCTTCCCTTCAACAAGGCACTCCTAGGCAAGTGGTTATGGAGATTCGGCAATGAACGGCATAGGTTATGGAGGAAGGTAGTTTCCTCCTCTTCCCTTCAACAAGGCACTCCTAGGCAAGTGGTTATGGAGATTCGGCAATGAACGGCATAGGTTATGGAGGAAGGTAGTTTCTTGTCGGTTTTTGGGTTTGGACGGGGGGGGGGGGGGTTAGCTAGGCAGTCAGGCCTGCTATCGGTATGGGGGTATGGAAATTCATTGGGAGGGGAGGAAATGAGTTCTCTAAGCATATTAGATTTAGAGTCAGGGAAGGAAGGGATATCCGGTTTTGGGAGGATGCTTGGTGCGAGGATCGTCCTTTGTCTTGTTTGTACCCAAGGTTGTTCGGGATTGCTGTTGATGGACATGCTTTGGTTGTTGACTGCTATCGCCTTGATAGTGGTAGGCTGTCTTGAGATATGCAGCAGCGATCCTTTCAGGATTGGGAGTTGGATGACGTCATTGGTTTGCTGGATCTTCTGTATAGACAGAAGGTGGATGGCACTGGTTCGGACTCCTTGACTTGGGTGCTTTCCCCACAGGGGACGTTTCATGCCCGGTCCTTCTTTTCCCGGCTTTCAGGGTTTCACGGCTCCACCTTCCCGTGGAAAACGGTTTGGCACTCAAAGGCTCCTCTTAGGGTGGCCTTTTTTGTGTGGACTGCTACTTAGGGCAAGATCTTGACTCTAGACAACTTGAGGAAGAGGAGACAAGTCATCGTTAACAGGTGTTGTCTGTGCATGAATGATAGAGAGTCTATGGATCATCTTCTCTTGCATTGTCCCGCGGCTCACGACTGTTGGAGCCTCATTTTGAGTCTTTTTGGCGTTCAGTGGGTTATGCCCCAGACTTCAAGGGATTTGATTGATGGTTGGAGGGGCCAAAGGGTGGGAGCGCGTGTTCGTGATTTCTGGAGGGTGACCCTCTTTTGTATTTGGTGGAGTCTCTAGAAAGAAAGCAATCAAAGATCTTTTGATGGGGAGGGGATCTCCATCAGGGCGTTGAAGTTCGCCATTCTTTGCTCTCTCTTTAGTTGGGGAATGGGGAGAGATTGTATTTATTTAGATGAGATTATATGGACTTTTTGGGGTCGTTGGTTACATAGGTCTTCTTTTTCCTTTATTTCGATTTTTGTACAGCTCTTGGAATGCATTCCCCTTTTAAACGCTTTCTAATACATTTTTACTTATCAAACAAAAGTTTTTAGAGTAGATGGTAGTGAACATGGTATCAAAACCAAAGGTCTCGAGTTCAAACCTCACCGTCACCCTAATTAAAAAAAATTGAAAAACACGTGTTGGACCAAAAGAAGGACACACGTGAGGGGGCATGTTAAAGGATTTATATATTTAAGTTACACCCTCTCTAATAGCATAAGCTTTTAGTGTTGATGGTAGTTAACACTAACCAAATGCATGCTAGAAAATAAAATATATATAAAATTCATGCACTTCACTTTTCTTTTCATTATCCATTTCCTTTCTTTTTTGGTTATTTCCATCTAACCAAATGAAGCCTTAGTGATTTCTAACACCACATTCTGTCTTTGGTGAGTCAGCGTTAATTTGTACCCTAGCCATTACGTTTTAGTCTTTTCCTGATTACATGAAATACATTCTCTTTCTTAATCAATCACAAGAACTCCACTAATCAATTCTCGATCTAACCTACTTATGTCAGGAAGAAATGATCCAACCAACCCAGTAATATTGATAGCATTTTACCATCTCATATCTATGATATTGATCATTACCTATCAAGACCCAAAACTGAGTAGTGATGTGATAATGCATAGATTGCAGTGCCCTGAGGAGTTTCCCTGAAATTAGTCCTCCGATCTCTGTATGATGTATCAGCCTTCCAATACCAATCATCCCGCTGGAAATGCTGATTATATGTACCTTGACCATTTTCCCCCCAGCTCTCATAATTCCTTTTGTATTTATTTTTCTCTCTGTTGAACACACTTTGCATGCGCCTAATACGCTCCTAAAAAAAGGAAGAGCAGAAAATCAAATCAATAAATACAAAGCAGTGCAAAAGTCACAGCGGGCATAACACGGCATAACTGTACAAGAGAAGAAAAGTCAAAACAATTTATGCCTTTATGGTCATTAAAGTAGACAGGATAAAAGTAGTTTCCATTTTAGATTGGATCCTTTGATTCCATATAAATAGGAGCAGAAACTGCTTAATTTCCATCAAAATTTTGATTTGATTTTTGTAAAACTAGAACTAGTAGACAAACTATTGAGAGAGGCAGACCTGCAAAAAAATCTTCTCCAAATAAAAATGTGGTTAAATATTAAACTCTTACCAATAATACTTTATTTATTTTTCCTTCCGTGGCTTGTTTAGAACTTTTCATTGTCAATTAGAATAACCATTGTTATAGCACTCATAGTTTCAGTATGATCTTAAACTCTCAACAGTATCATCTTCCTATTTATCTTGTGTTTCAATTTCAACTAAATTCTGATATGGTTTTAAGAAAGACCCTTTTTTCATTGTTTCTTTCTCACTATCATTTACTTAGAATTAAAATATTCCCTACAAATTCAGATATTTGTACCACACCGAAAACTGGTGAACTCACACATATATTTGCCATACAAAAATGACAAGTTCTGTAAATTTTTCATTAAAAACTGTCATAATTTTGATCAGTAACTATAACTAGAAAACTATTAGACTCGTAACTCGTGTATCTCCAGTTCTGACTGGATGCAATCAGACATAGGCTTCCTCACTTAGCTTAACCCAAAGTAGCCTGGTTCTATTTCAATATACCCAGACACATCTTTATCCTGTGGCTAGCTATAAAAGAGAAATTAACTACTAAAAGATAACCTCCTCCCTTGGGCCTTGACTACAGACTCAATTGTGTTCCATGCAGCAACAACCTGGAAACTGGTGACCGTTTTACCTTTTCAATGCCCTTTTTCATAGACAATCTGGGACTCCTTACATATGACACAAAATCTGGGACTCAATTGTGTCATATTCATTACATATGACAGAAGAGGGGGGAAATTATAAAGTCCATGTGAGATCAACCAAGTGGTGATCAAATAAATATGTTTTGACATTAAAAAATAATAATAATAAAATAAAATAAAATAAATTCATGCTCTCGTTCACCAGCAACGGAGGAGCTGGAACTGGCACCTCAGAAATATGCAGTACCTTAATCTTCATATCTCGTCAAACTAGCAAGGCAGAGGAGACCAATACAATTGATCCTATGTAAATTTTCCAGCATTATCTACACAGCTTATTTGTACCATGTCATCATCGAAAGAGTTCTTGTAGTGGACCTCAAAGGCTTGGCATAGCAGCCTATTGCTTTGTCCTTCGTTTGTTCAGTTTTCTTCGTTGATATCGAAGTTTTTCTTTATTATTTTTTACAGAGGGCATGGCCACTTCTAGTTTCTAGATCTTTTCTTTTTGTGTATATATATTTATTACAAACTCTACCCGCTTAACGTGGGTAGAGTTAGTAAAGAAGGATATGATAACATGTAATTTGACTGAGACTATGGCCTTAAGTTGAGCATAATGGAAAAATTGGATTCATGTAATTGACCCCAAGTAGTTGGGAAAAGGCTTTGTTTGATTTTATTGTTGAAGTGAATGAGCTACTGTTATTCTTCACAATTCTAACAAAATTTCGTCATCTCAACCTGTTAATATGATAAACAGCAAAGAAAAGAAAAAGGTAATCCAGCTTTCCTAGAATGATATGCATGGGCAGCTAAGGAAAAAATTAAATAATTTTACTCACCATTATAAATTTGACATAGTTATGTGATCACATTCAGTTAAAATATAAACGGAAAGGTATAAAAACTTAGTAGAGAAGAATCTCACCACTCTCTCCATTTCTTCTTCATACTCCTCCTGCATTCGACGGTTATATCTCTTCCATGCTTCCTCCTGGAAACCTGTCCGGAAAGAACTGCCCGTTGCACCTTTCCATGATGATTGTGACCTGGTCAACTTTCATTGCGCAATTACAAGCATATTCAGTTTGGCTATCCGATTGAACAAATTCATCTTTTCCAGAGACAATAATAATTGTTGAAAATACTTTTAAAATCTTTACCAGTTTGTGCAAAATAATTTCCTCAAGAAGAAAGGTACTCAACTACATAATTTTGCCATAAAAAAATTTTCAGGAGAAAATATGAATCAAAATATAATAGAATTCATCAAACCAATTTGCACAATCATTTAACAATTATCAAGCAAAATCCTGCTTGTGGTACAATATTTTATCCTATGTCATATTTTCAAATTGCACGCTCAGAGAAAAACAATTAGCCAAAAGAGAAAAAAAGAACATAGTACAAATGGATAATGCATGATCTATACTGACAAAAGAGCTACATCAAAATTTATAGGGAAAAAATTTAGAAAACCAACTCCTGCTGGAAGGAATTGAAATCTCACCAACTTCTTTATAAAAACTAGGGCTGTAAACGAGCTGAGCCGAGCCAAGCTTTGAGGTGTTTGGGCTTGGCTCAGCAACTGTAGAGGGGAGCTCGAGCTCGGCTCGAGCATGACTGAGCTTTCACCAGCTAAGATCGAGCTCAGCTCGAAAGTTCTTGAATGAGGCTCAGTGAAGCTCGTATTCTCTGTCCTTTGTGTTTTTGTGTGTGTGTCTGTACTTTGTGTTTTTGTATGTGCCCGTGTGTATAGGTATATAATATACATGCTTATCTGAAATACAGATCTTTTCACCAAACTTCATATTTCAAAATCGGTGCAAATATGAGAAATTAAAAAAATAAGAAAAGAGGAGAAAGAAAGAGAGCGACTGTGGCAATCGTCATGAATCAATAAGAAATCCTTTGGCTGCGATCGTGATGAATCTGGCAAACATGGAATCGTCGATTTCTTTGGATTTCTGTGGCAACTAAGATTTGTTTGAGCAATAGTCGATTTCTTGGAATTCTGCAGAAGAGGGGTTTGTGCGAGGACAAGAGTGCTCTTGCGGCTAGGGTTCTGTGAGAGATAACAAAAGGCAATAAGAAAAATGACGTTTGCAGCTGATAATGGTAGGCTTGAACTTGGACTTGGACTTGGACTTGGACTGGGCTCTTGATTAGATAAATAAATAAGATAAGCTGGGTTGGATTAGACAGGTGCTTGGATTCTTTTATGGGTTAAATGAAAATAATTGGTTCACTAACTTATATATATATATATATATATATATACACACACACACACACACACACACTCCGTATTAAACAAGGTTTAAACGAGCTTAGTTTACGAATATGTTCACGAACAACCGAGCCGAGCTCATGGTTGTTTGAGATTGGTTCGTTTACGAATCGAGCTTGAAAGAACTGTTTGAGCTTGATTCATTTACTAAATAAACGAACATGGACCGAGCTCTTAACAAGCCGAGCTCGAGCTATTTGTCGAACGTTTGGTTCATTTACAGCCCTAATAAAAACTGTGACAAATTCATTCAAGTATAAATAAATAATGGTTGAACCGGCCTTCTAAATTAGAAAAACTAGAAAAGATAATTGAGGCTGGGGTTAGTCCACCAATATCAATTAGTTCAACAGGAGAAGCTCTAACTTTTGCTGGTCTGATGTCAGCAAGGCAAACCAAACAGATGTACCATTTACAAGGATAATGCATAAAAGTTGTTTCCTCCATAACCCGCTGACTGCCGAGGCATCAAACAGGGTACACATAGAATATTGATATTTAGAATTGATGTCTTATTCACCCCTCCATATGTTTCTATCAATAATTCTTCAATGGCCAAGGAGTACTAAGATATACTCTTTTTTTTTTCTTTTTTTTTTTCTTGAATTACTAAGATATAATCTTTAGAATCCCTTGCCACTGCACTCTGGACAAAGGTCGTCCACACTGTTGATTTCTACTCGGAGAAATTAAGTCTTACTAGACATAGCAATTTATTACTAAACCTAAGAAAAAAATTCCTTCCTTTCTAGAACTTACATACTAGATGTCTCGAATTTTAACCAGAAATAAAACCAACTGAGCACCTGAAGAATAGTGTAAGCTATTGTTGCCATCTGACCATACAGAGACAGATTTCCAACATATTGTGGGCATCTACAGATGGCAGCAAAAATATTGACCAAAAAACCTTAAGAGTTTCAACAAATGAGTCTGTCTTCATGTATGCAGACATGAAGACTTTTACTTAAATTTTTTACTTCTTTGGCTTTTTTACATGCTAGCACAAAAAGAGGAGTTGTGCAGCTTGTACACATTAACATAAACTAAATGAAGGTACACTAAAATTTTCATGTAAAATGGAAGATAGCAAAAAATAAATAAAAATTATCACTACCTGCACATAGAACCAATCGACTGTCCTCCGCAATCGTCCAACCTGCCAGATTGCTCCAACCGTCATATAAAGTATCAACTAGAATCATCCCCTCAAATATCAATAGCAAAATAATGATGTATTTGTCCCCAAAAAACCTTACACACACACTATAAAAAACCAGAAATCCTAGAACCACAAAGGCGCGTCCTTGTCCAAAAACCAAACCTTGCTGGGAAATATATAAGAAGCAATTAAAGGAAGCATGCTAATTTTCCATTCCCCTTGGATTTAGGTGACACGAACAATTTGGTTTGTTAGTTGGCTTTAAAAGAGTAAAGACAGAAATTGGTCTAATATCCAAGCTGAGGGTGACTCCAAAACTTGTGGTAAAATGGGCCAAGGGCAGATCTTCTGGCACTCGGAGATATTCTCATCTTTCGCATGATATTAGGAATTATTAGTTGAAAGTTATTTTGTTCCTTCGAGTTATATATCCAATACTTGAAATAAGAACTTCTCAACCAAGCATTTCGGAGTTTAAGAAGCATTATCAGCTGCAATATCTTGTCTGATTGCTCTTTATGTCTTGTACATGAAGAACACCACATCCCACTCCATTAGTTTTTCTTTTCTATCTAATTGTTGTTTGAAAAACACTTTGTTTCTTAAAAAAAGGGCCGTAAAAACAACTAAAAAGGAGTTAGCAACTTTGGCCAAGTCCTCTGACAGGGAACTCTCTCTCTCTCCCCCTCCCTTTAGGAATAGGAATTCAACAAATTGTCAAATCCTCTTAAGTGATTTACAAGATCTCCTCTTTCCCACAACAAAACTGCAATGATGATCTCAAACACTTTTACTTACTCCCTCCGTCCCAAAATAAATGTCCCTTTTAGTTTTAGAGTATCTAACTTTTTAAGAAGACGAGGTTTAGTATTTTTTATTGTATTGGTAGTGAATGAATTACCAAATCTATCCATAGTGGGTCCACAAGGATGTGATGGTTTATTTTTTTACAAGTTCAATGCAAGGAGGTTAAATTGGTAATGTTACAAAAATAGAACTTTGACTTTTCAAATGGAACATTTATTTTGGGACAGCCAAAAATGGAAGGGTGGACAATTATTTTGGGACGGGGGGAGTAATAAATAACCAAACTGTATAAAAAATAATAATAAAAAAAATTAAAAATTAAAAATTAAAAATTAAAAAATAAAATATAAAAGGAAACTGGGATAGAAATGAAGCCACTATTAGTTATGAGGTGCACCAGCTCTTTCCTCCCAATTATGGACAAAACAGGCGAAAAGAAAGGGCTTTAATCAGCAAGTGTTTCAAACAAAAAGAAAACTTAACTAATAGTAAGGGAAATTATTCTGGTGAAAACCCCATCTGGGTGTATGTAAACCTTCCCTCTAAATAGGCAATCTTTCTCTGGATAGTATTCTCATATTCTCTTCGGTTGTCAGCAGCACTGTCATATTTGGCAGTTATACTGGACCTTGTAAATAGAACATACAGGGAGACAGCATATTTTTGGCACCAAGCAAAGGTCCGACTTAAGTTTTTGTATAGATTATTTACTGTAAAATTTATTATTGACAGAGAAGTCCTGGGCATGCATATATTGCAATTGTTAATAAAGAGTCAAGGATACCCAAATTAATGTTCAACATAAAAATGTACTGATTAGATAAGAAAATACATGAGTAAAAAGTAAAAGCATACTATAAGTTCATAGGACTGGCAACTAGAAGGATAAAAATGTCCCAATTAGATTGTGTAATGCATGGATATATGTAGTGATAAATAAAAAAAAAAAATTGAACAAAACCTTATATGGACTACTACTGGCAACCACACAAATATTCTTTTGACATTTTGAAATGCTAAAGGCCAGTAACTGCCAGTTCTACCTTTTTTTTTTTTTTTTGATAAGTTTGCCAGTTCTACTTTTAAATGAGAGGCCTCCATATATGTCCTCAGAGGTTGACCCTACACTCTTAATTGGCCTTTTCTACTGCTTCTAACACAGACAAAACAAACATGCTGGTGCCACCATTAATCCTAGATTCTAAGCCATTCTCTTATGAATTTTCTCTTATGTTTTCTCAACTGGATTTATGCCGCTATCTATTCAGTTTCCTCAAAAAGACCCTTCATCATAAATCCAATGATCATTTACCCATATCGTTTCGGTTTTCTTTTTTATAAGAATAAATTATTGGCAAATTCAGTGTCATTAAAGGCCCAAAGCGCACCAAGGCGCTAGAGGTCCTTTGGAGCCTAGGCGCGAAGCGCACGGTGAGGCGCACACCTGAGTGAGGTGAGGCACGCAATTGAAAATTTGAACTACCATAATAACATTCATATCTCATAAGTCATATCAATATTCTAAAAATTAATATCAAATATAAATAAGTAAATCCATCAACCAGAAAACAGAACACAAATTTGTTTTCTTGAAAGGCAAAGCAAAATGTGTTTTTTTGAATGGCAAAACAAAGCACAAAAATAAATAAATATGTTAAAAAAAAATAAAAGGCACAGAGAGAAGAGAACTAGACGAAGAGAGAGATGTAAACAAAGATAAGAAGAGAGGGGAGATCTAGAGGAGAAGAGAGAAAAAAGAAGAAAGAAAGAACTGACGTGGCTTCGTCGTTCATCTCTACAATTAGGGCTTCGTCTTCATCTCACAATCTCATTCTATCGCTGTTCGGTTAACACTTTGACTCTTGGGCTTTCTTATTTTTTTATTCTTTTGTACAAAAGTTCCTTCTATCGTATGCTTGGGCTTTCTTTTTTGTTTATTAAGTTGCCAAGAGTACCCTTTTTGGCTTAAGAAATAGAACAATCGTATTTTTTTAAACAAATATCAATGAGGCGCGCCTCACAAACAGGACGAGGCGCAACGCGCGCCTAGTAAACATCAGTGAGCCTGACAACAGGCGCTAAACCTTAGCCTCAAGCGTAGGCGCGAGCCTAGGCACGCCTTTAACAACACTGGGAAAATTGATTCTTAATTGCCTACTATTCTCTCTCACATAATATAAATAGCCAAATAATAAAAAAATTCAATATGTATCCAATAGGAAGCGCCACTCCACTCCAAGAAAAGGAAAATCTAATTCTAGTGGGTTGCCGAAGTGATCATCACACCATTTTGATCAGAATGAAGTCACTTTGATCACTCTCCAAACATGGCCATTCTTGAGTCTCTCACAAATCAGTTAGTCATTTCCGTTCCTCATATTTCTGTTTTAGTTCTAAATATCATAGAACGTGTTGGCCCTAGCTTCTGCTTGCAGTGCTACCAAAGCATACACTCCTAAATAAATCTTGTCAACTGAATAAGATAGCAATGCCATCGCATATATAAACACAAAAGGAGAGGAAAGATTTGTAATACTAATATTTAAAGTGGCCTAAACATTTTTTATCATCACAGCCATATTATAGTATTTTTAAGAATTAATACATTATCTTATTCGAAGGGCTTGCCCAAGAAAAGAAAAGACTAATTGTAATGGGCAGCATCCTACAAAGCCTCCCCTCCTTACAAATGATTCAACCCAAATCATGAAAGATGGCCATTTTTGTTTGTTGTTCAATTTTCTTTGTCCACACATTATCCCTTTTTTTTGTGCTAAATATCCTAGAACAATTTAACTCTAGACTCTGCTTACAATGCTAGTAAGCAGTCACTTCTAAGTTAAGCTTGTTAACTGAATTTGATGCAGTTTGATTAAGAAACCAAAGCCATCGCAAATACAAAACCAAGGGAAAGGAAATATATTAAAAATTCTAATATTCAAAGTGGTCTGAACTGTTTTTTTATCGTCACAGCCATTCTGTAGTGGTTCCAGCAAACAGGTTATTAAGATTTTTACATGAAACAAGGCAAAAACTTATTGTTCATCATCTTTGGGTAATGAAAAAATGTGCATCTTATTTGGTATACTGGGTGCATGATGGAACAAACCCCTTGGGACTAAGTTAACAATGAAAAAAATGTACAATATATATATATATATATATATTTAAAAAGGACTACCCCAAAAATTGGGATTTTAAATTCCTTAATATAATTTGACTTCCAAATGGCGAAATTTCAACTCTTGGTGAATTCATTAGCCATGTCTGTTTCATAGCTACAACCATTGAACCGCGATTAATGATTCAATTAAGTTTTACTAAATCATGTTTATCATGACCTAATTCAACTTCAACAAGTCATGTTGAATCCAAGGTCATTTTTTTAAGATATGATCTACATTCCAGTAATCAAGCCTGCCTTGGTCCCATTTGATTGGAGTCAGCCACATGAATTCTTGTTTCCCATTCTTCTCTTTTATAAGCTGTGTCCACTATACATCTAATTTAAATACAAATAAAGAACAGCAGTCCTTGGGTCCATAGCACATCAGAATTTTCCGATTCTTTTACATCTTGTATTTGCCAGGCATTATTATCGTTTAAATCAAGAATAAAACTTTTTTGTTGAATCTGAGCAGGTAATGAATCATCATATTGAAAAATGTACACTCCAGGGTCATTGCTTAATGCAGTGGTAAAGATTGGCTGCAAACAAAGTCTTTGTGTAAATAATCGCAATGGTGATTTAAAACCCTTAATTAGCAGGGACAACATTAGGTTATGGCTATTAATTTGACCATTTGTTTATGGAGACATATATCATCTAAAAAAAAAAAAACTCAATTGACCATACTGTAAGTAATTGAGTTTCAATAGCCAAACTTGACTTCTGCAATGCTCTGAAGTTCAGCAAACCTATCTGAATTCAAACTACTTCGTTCGATTACAGACATAAACACAGCAAAAGCATGGTGGTGGAATTCAAATTGACAACGCAATCGAAAAAAAAAAAAAAAATGAACGAACTTACAGCGAACGTGGTGACAGTAGCTCCAATCAAACCGAATATCAAAATTCCCCACGGCCGAATATCCTCTTTCCCTTGATTCCGTTTATCAGCTCCATCGTTTCTAATCTTCTTGTCTTCGGACATTGAATTCACTGCGTCGTCCTCTCAACAGATAAGAATTGAATTCGAAACCCTAGAACCATTCTATTCTCCCTCTCTCTTTGTACTTTCTATAACATAATCAACTCTCTCTCTCTCTCCCCTTTCTCTCTCTAGAAGTTGAAGCGGAGAGACGCGGTTCGCGCCGATCGATTTTATTCAGAATGCACCGTGCGGTGGCTATTGCTGCAGAGACCGTCACGTGTCTGACTAGTCGGATTTGTAAAAGTAATATGGTTGGGTTTGAACCGCAAGAATGTTGGGCTTTTCTCGCAAGTCGAAGTGTTTGGGCTCTAGCACTCATGCACTTGAACTTGGCCCGAGTCTAGGACACAACTCGGGTTAAGGTTGGGTTGCTCATCCCATCCTATTTAACCTGTGGCTAGGTTGCTCCTTGTGTTCGAGAGCTCACTTTCGAATTTTGCGTCATCCGCCTTCCTTATAACTCTTAGTCACACAATTCGTTAAAAGAGGTCATGCTCTCAAGCTTCGCACGCAAATTTGCGATTTGGGAGCGAATTCGTATAAAATCCGCAAATTCAATTTTGAGTACTGTTATTTACCTCGACAAATAAAAACCTACTACTTCACCAAATTTACGTGGATACCTATGTGTCAAATATAATGGGACCCATTTTAAAATATACGGTAGTTAACTATTTGGAAAGTTATAATCCATTTTTTAGGTTTCATCTTAATATACTATCTTTGTTGGCGATGAAAGTTTCAATCACTATGTTTATTAAATTGTATATGTGTTTTATACATATATCACACTGCACCTCTCTAACGTATAGATACTTAAAATTGTATCTCCTATATATAATTAAATAGGCATCTGTTCATTACTATAATAATCAAAACTAATGATCTATGTAACTCCTGAAACAAAAACAAATAAAGGAATTTAAAGAAAAATTGCAAAGCATTAAAAAATTGAAAAATATTGCAGTTTTTTTTTTCTAAATTTTGTACCAATCTAATTCTTATGTTTGAGCACCATGAAAGATATTGTGAAAACGAAAAAGAATATGATACGGTTATGGAATACCGAAAAGATAAGGAAATGACTTATGAAAAACTGAGTAGATAAAGAACGAAAAATTGACGTATTTTATGAAAACAAATAGAAGTAGTAATGATGCTTATTTAAATTGAAATTTTATAATAACACGTCATATTTTTACCTATGCCAATTTTAAATCGGGTATTAAAGTCGTCAAAAATATTGCAATTCACGAATTTGAAAATTCGCGGTTTCCATACTAATTCACTTTATAAAACTAATTACCATATATGCATTTATTACTTACACTGTTACTCAATATACGTAACGACTCGAATCTGTGGGTCCGAACCGTTAACCGAGTCCTTACCCAAACCCAAGGTCAATTAAAAAAAAAAAAATTGGCATGACCTCTGCTAAAAAGGATCCTACAACAACCTGTTTAAATGCATAAAAATGCAATGGCCTCTCTTGAACCTCAAAACTAATATATCATGTCCCAATGCACAATACAATAATATACAACATCCCCAAAATCAATACATACATACAAAATGTCCGATTCCTCCATCTCCTCCAAACAAGGAATTACTTTAATTACATTAAGTTACAGTCCATGAAATATATTTATTTACACAAATTCTACCATTACAACACTATACAAGTTACACTTAATTTTTTTTTTTTTTTTTAAGTATATGATCATATTTCTATACAAAAGATAACAAAATAAAAGTTCTAGTCCAGTCTTAATTGCGATGGGTTATAGCCCACCCATTCTTTTCCTAAACCTGAAAAATGTTAAAATAATAAGGTGAGCATAAGCTCAGTAGGAGGTGTCTAAGATACACCTCTTGTAACCCTGTGAATCCAAGCAATGAATAGAAATAAAGGGAACGCATGCTATACCGAGGAATAATACAATACAATTTCAAGGTTAAAAACAAATAATGTCGTGCCATGAAATGCAATGTCGTGCTATGTCACTCCCCATTCAAAATCACTTCCATTTATCATTTTTTAAACTGTTAACGTAACCCGCCTCTCGGTACCCCGTTGGCGACACGAGAGAAGGATCGGACTGTCCCTGACCCTTGGTAGCCCCGCGGTGTCATTTGGGCCTAGATAGCTCAACCACGCTAAGGAGTTTCCATATTTCCCTCTAAGTTACATTAACGTCACGGACCCTCGGTATCCCCTTGGCATCTGGGTTTTCACAAAACCTTTTGTCAAAAACCTTTCTCCCAAAAATCATTTTCTTTCCTTTTTAAATCATCTTCCCATTTCTTCCCAATGCTTATGCATGAATGTATCATGCCATGTCAATACTCATAATCATAAATCTAATTCAAGTCTAAACCACTTAGCATACTTTACAAGAATTTTCAAAAAATATACAACATGCTTACATTCAACAATAATCAAGCATAGTAAGCATTTAGAGTATAAAATCAATTCATACAAGCATGCTATTTCATGTAATTTCAACTAAACATATAGTCACATACTTTGTTTACAAAAATTTAATCATTTTAAAAGAAAATTCAACATAATTAACATGCTAGACAACAATTCAAGAAGGAAAATTCACAGATGAGTAAGAAATTGTGCATTAGAAACCCCTACCTCAATTTTGTAGAAAAACCCTCAAATGGGTCCAAATTTTTAAAAATCCTAAAGTGCACCAAATGATGAATTGCTTACATCAATGAGTAGATCTTCCATGCTCTTCATTTTGACGCAAACAACATCCAAAATTTTCAACAATTGAAGGAGAAACCAAATGTTGAAGTTTGCTTGGAGAAAGAAAAAAGAAAAATGAAGAAATGTGAGGGAGAGAGAGATATTACCCGCTGGGGGCCACCACTAAAAAAAAACCTTTTTGATTTATTTTCTACCACAAAATATATATATGCTTCAATATAATAAAACCACACAATTTAGCACTTAAACAATTTAACTTTGCACAAAATAATTAGGCATGGTATGCAAATGACCCGAGACACAACTCCCATACACAATAATTTCGGTAGCGGGTCTCACCGAGACCGTCCGACCCTAAAAACGGAAAAATACAAAAATGACAAACCTTACATTTCAAAGAGTCCTAAACTCAATGGAACGCCCCAACCAACTCTCGGACACAACCTTGTAATGCACGTAAATAAAAATACATATTGAATAATTAATAGGTATTTAATATATTATTATATCTCAGAATAAAATAAAATTGACTTCAATTTTAAATCTTTCAAAACAAAAAATAAAAGAAGAAAATATTTTTCATCATGGAAACATTGACTAACTAATAAAAATAACTTAAAATTGTATTTAATTACAATGACTCTTTTTACCAGCAAAATCATTTTGAATTGATATTTAATATTTTTTGTTGAATTTTACCGAATGATGATGCGAGTTTTTTTAATCACTCATTTGTTGATATCATGTTAATGTTGTTATTCACTTCATGATCATTTAGGTTTAGTTGTTGTATTGAAAATGTTAGACAATTGATATTTTAATTGTTTTATCCGACATTTATGTCCTTGTGAAAGGTTGTGTTATTTGCATGAACGATTATGTCATAATTTCATTTCATAATTGATGTAAACTTATTTAAGTTAGTATTAAATTAATAAAAATGTATACAAATAGAAAATAATTTAATTAGAGTGATAATTTAGATTAACGGAATAACGATTAGTACAAATTAATTTTATGAGCGATGATTTATATGAACGTGATAACTATAAATATGAAGAATAGGGAAAAGTCACGTAACTATTAATATGATTTATATAAGTGATGGGTGTTAATAATCTTTGTGTAACTATTAAAGTATTAGAAGTGTTTGCATTAAGAAGATGACTTTTAAAAGGGGTTGTAACTTTTAGGTAGTTTAGTTCTTTTTTTCTTTTTTCTTTTTTTTTAAGTCACGTAATTTGTTTATTTTAAATTAAAATAGCTACTTTAAAAGTGTATGTAAATACAATAAATCTAATTGACTTTAATAAAGAGATTTATAGATATGAAAAGAAAGAAAAGCTGATGACTCCAACAAATTAAAATTAAAAGTTGGCAACACCCCAAAAATGGTAATTCCAACAGTTTATAAGCAACTTTTATCCACTTTAAAAAAAAAATTATAAAAGAAGTATACTATATTAGTAGACAGCAGACTTGAAACTTGAAAATAGAATGATATATTCAAAGAGAAGAACATGACGGAATTTTTTTTTTTTTTTTCTTTTTTCTTTTTTGAAATTGAAAAATTTGGGACTCTCTAATCATTTGTAGAGAAAGGACAAGTGACAATTGTAATGTTAATAACTGGTGCATTTTGAAATTATCGTTGTGGAATGTTTAACGTATATAATTTTGTAAAACAGTTTTAATTAAAATGAAAAATTACGTTTATTTTTCCAATTAAAATTAAAAAATTGTTTTAAATGTATAAATTGATAGCATGTTGATATATATATATATGTGTGTGTGTGTGTGTGTGTGTGTGTGGCCTGTGTGGGGGAGAGATGAACGTAGAAACCGTGGGAATCGTTTCAAATGAAAGAGTTCACAGCACCCCAATTTTTTTTTACTCCAATAATAATAATAACTACTTTTATCACCTACAAAACTAATTATTATATAAAGAAGAATATCATCTGAGAAAGAATTATGTAGGTGGTAGACTTGGAAATAGAATAATATTTTTGCAGTATTTTTTTTTTTCCTAGAATCTTAAAGTATGGGCCTCTCTAGACACGATAGACATCTTAACCGCTGAAAATCGCCGTATTAATGTATAGACTTGAAAATAGAATAATATTTTTGCAGTCTTCTTTATTTTTTTTCACCCCAAAAGCTTAAAATATAGGATTTTGTAGCCATATATAAACGAAAAACATAATATCTTAATGGCTAAAAAATACCGTATTAACATATATAATTTTGTAAAACTATTTTAACATAAACATTTATTTCTTATATTAAAATTGGGCATAAAAATGTAAAGGAAAGTAAGAAAAAGAAAGAAAAGAAAGAAGAACCTGTGAATCGTTTCAAAGAAAGAGTTAGGCAACACCCAAATCTCATGACTCCAACAATTTTAACAGCAATTTTTATAGACTAAGAATAACATTTTTGCAGGGAGAACGACAGTTTTTTTTTTTTTCCTTGTGAAATCTTAAA